ACTCAGCAGCTTTTGGAACGCTCAGCTAACTCAGCAGCACAACCGCTAATTTCTGGGCCTTGCAAAAGATGGATCCATGCTTCGAGTAGTAAGAAAATTTGCTAAGAAAGAAAGTTGCAACAATTTTCATTTTCCAATTTAAATTTTTTATTTCTTATTTTTTTTTTTTTGTATTTCACATGGCACGCTTTGATTTAGAAGAAACATGTCATGAGTTTTTGACACTTTCGATACCAGAAGCAACAACAAAATACACGCAAATGTTGTTTTTGCTCTAATGCTACTACTTTTTTGATATGCCTTGCTCGTAGGTATATTTACATATATATGTATTTCTTCAAGAAAATTTACAGCAACAGCAAAGTGCTTTTTCAAGCAACAGAAATAATTAAAAAATTGTCTTGTTATTTTTTCTTGAGATTTGGATTCTAAGCTTAAAAATAAATTCTAAAAGTGAAAAAATCGCCTCAGCTGACTAAACAGTTTAAACTTAAAAAATCTGCATAGAAATATAATTTTTTGTTCAACGGAATCATAATAATGAGATTAGTGATGCGGATTTTTTATAATTTTTCAAAGATAGATTTAAGATAAACTTGAATAACTCAGCCAAAACAATACCGATTTAGACTTATGAGGTATCATTGGAAAAGTATTTTCCACCCCTTTTTTATTTTAATGCAAATCAACACATTCAAAGTATGACAGAGAAAAGTAAGATGAAGGTGCGGCATTCCAAGTTGAAATAAGACATGTGGATGTTTGCAAAAACAAAAAAAAAATCTAACGCGAATGAATTTATTTGCAAAGAAATAAAAAGCGTGAGAAAATACCTTTCACATGGCAAAATGGGTAAAGTGTTGGCTGAGTTATTCAAGTTTTTCTTAAACCAATCTTTAAAAAAAGCTAAAAAACAGCACCAAAAATCACATTATGATTGGGTTGAAATTTTTTTCAAAATATTTTTACGCAAATTTCTAAACTGTCCTGTCATATGAGGTGATTTTTTCCAAAAAATATTTAAAAAATACGATTTTAAAGCCGATTGAAACATGCGTTTCATTAAACTAAAATTGTATGGTCTATAAAACTGTATACCCAAAAATGTTTTAAAGATTCAGGTTAAAAAGTTGAAATTTTGATAAAAATTTGTTGAATTTTCCTAAATTTTGTATAAAGTTTGGAACTGTGATTTATATGGTTTTGGTTAAAGCTTGGGCGGTCTTTTTATAGAAAAATAACAAATGAAACTTTACGAATATTTAAAAAAACAAAATGCGGTCATTTGTTTGAGTCACTGTATGTAAGTTACAACTTGTATATCTCTAATGAAATAGGATTGCCACTATCTAAAAATTAAAATGTGTTGCATATGCAATTTAAGTAAAATATCACAATATTAGTATGCTATGAAAGGTGATAAAAAAGCTTAATCCTCTTTAAAAGTATATTTCGAAAAAATTAATTTTCTATAATTAAAAGAAAAAGTTTTCTGTGTTTCTTCCGGGTTGCCATCACATGATCTACCGTTGAAAATTAGCTAAGTGATACTAGTGTACATATGTATGTATGTATATAAATTCCTATTTCGTTGAAGCTCCGACTTCCTTACATATTTCGTACTTAAACAAATCGACGTCCGAGCGCATATTCATGGCGTCAAGATTTCCTGCAAAAATATATACGCACATTGTATAAACAAGTACAAATAGATTTCAATAGTCTTTCACAATGCATTGCTTATCTCGCAAAAGTTCTTTGTTTTCGCTAAAAATGCAATTTAGTCTAACAAAAATTAAATATTAAATATGCAAAATAATGAATTCAGAATTAAAAGTCTGGTGAACTGGTGTGTGCATTTAATTATTCGAAATTATGTATGTATTAGGAATGTTAATTTTTCAGCTTTTTCCCATCCCGGGATTTTCGGGAAGTCGTTATCATAATCCCAGGATCCCGGGATTAGTCCCGGCATTTAGATATTCATTATTTTTCAGCAACTTAAATCGAAAAAAATTGCTTCTATATTGTTGTATTGAGAAGCTCTCCTACCATAAAATAAATGGGTTTGAAGTCTACTTTTTTAATTAAAGGGGCATTTTTGTTTTTTCTCTCTGACGTCAGGATTTATTTTAAAGGACTTTGTGATTTCAAAGATATGATTATGTAATTCCAAAAATTATTTACAAAATTAAATGCAGAGGAAATTTTTTAGAATAAAAAAAATTAAATTTTTTGGATTCGTCCTTGTGAAGAAGTAATTTTTAAGCTGATAAGAAGTAATTTTTAAGCTGATAAAATTAGATGGATGAAATTCGAGGATGTTATCGAATTTTTATAAGTTTTTAGCTTATAATTAATTCAAAAACAAATATTGCGAAATTTCAAGGATAAAATTTTAAAAAGAAATTTTCAATACTTACCAGTCCTTCTGCACCAAAAAATTGCATCTGCTTAAATTCTACAGGATTTCCTCTTTAATTTGATACCCGTTCGCTTTCGCGTGAATAAAAAGAGTGAAAAATATTTAAATTTACAATTTACTTGAACTTTATGTTGCGATGTTCACACTTTATTTGCGGTTGGACGACCGTTTATGTATTTATATGGATAGCGAGCGAATGAATTTGCTTTTTGACCTTAATGTTATAGTTTCTTTTCCTAACTGTTCGTGATGAATATTCAATTTTCCAGTTCCGGGACACATTTTTGAATTACTGACGTCAGCGTGAAAAACTAACAACGCAATTTTACTATATTCGGCCCATGGTTTCCCGAATATATTGATATGTATTTGTGTTTAAAATTTACTATCGCGCGGTGTTATATGTATAATGAGTTAGACATTTATAAAAAAATATTAATTATTAAATGAAAAAAGAAATATAGCCAACACTGGTAAAGAAGGAGTTTCTATTATTTCCATCAGTGCGAATTACAAATACCGAAAATCGCGAGATTTTTGGGACCTTAAAAAGGCCGGGATCCCGGGATTAACATTCCTAATACATATGTATGTACTATGTGTATGGAATTGTGTATTTATTCTTAGCGTTAAACATAACACCCAGAGGTTATCAACTGCAAATGCTTGTCTGCACGTATTGCACTGTTTGCAAAAATCTGCATTATTAGTAGGTATAAAATCTTTTACGTGAGGCCTTGGAAATCAAGAGTTTTACGAAGACATTAGTTCATTTTTTT